ATAATTACCTAATGTCCTCTGGGAGGGGAGGCAGAGCTCAGAGCTGTGTGCCAGGGGCAGGGGGGTGCTGGCTGTGCACCTTCAGGAGCTGTCAGAGCAGCTCATGTCCTGCTCCTCTTGCTGACCATGCCCACTCCCTACCAGGGCTCTCCTACACCTGTCTGATCCCCACTCAGGTGCTTTGAAGGCAGGACTAGACCCTCCCTGCACCCCTAGGGACGTGCCACAGGCATGGAGGAGCTGTGAGGCAGGTTGAGGAAGGTGACTGCTACATCTCCTGCCCCTCTTGCACGGCACGAGGCACTGAAGGTCCACACCAGCCCCAGCCGTGTATTGCAGGCAAGTCCTTGGACCTGCTGGGGCCTTGGGATTTGTCACCTGGTGCTCCCATTCCACCAGGTTCACTGTCCCCTGCAGTCATTCACCTCTTGTCCTCACCCTCACAGTCAGTGCTGGCACCAGGAGCTGGCTCTTGGCTGGGAAAGCTCTCCATGGTGTCTGATCCCAGCACAGGCACATCTCTCAGGGCAGCAGCAGCAGGACGGGTGTCCCATCCCTGCTGGGAGCCACTCTGACACTCCCACAGGCAGAACAAACACCCTGGTGACTGTCCCCTTCCATGGAGGGTGGCCAGGGCACAAAAATTAACTTGCTTAAAGCTGTGCTGTGCTCCCTGCACACCACTCCCACTGAATTTCTGCCGAGTTCAGTTCCACTCAGCACTGAACCACTTCAGAGCCACCTTGTTCAGCCTGTTTGAAGAGTTTAAAGTTCAGGGAACTCTCCCTGGGAGCTCTGCATCCCTGAACTGACCACTACCCCTGGACAAGGTGCCAGGACTGCATCAGGAATGAGCAGCCCCAAGCAGCACCAATTTCTTCCCCCAGGCTGCAGCAAGGAGAGGAAGGTGGGAACCCATCCCAGGAGGAGGAGCAATCTGGGATACTTTGTGCTGCTGGGGATTTGCATGTTTGTGCCAAGGGTGACAGCTCTGGGGGTCACCCCAAGGAAATGCAGCTCTAGGGGTTCCCAAGGATGAATTTCAGCACTGTTTTCATGCTCACCCAGCACCTCAGCTCCAAGCACCCTCTCTCCTGCGTGGAGCAGGTTGTTCTCCAGGGATGCTGCTCCAGCAGGTGCCCAGCCATCCCCGGGCAACCCCAGGGACTGGGGTAGGCACCAGGCTGGGCAGCCCCACAGGGTCAGTGGGATGGGGTTTGTAAGTGGCTCTGCTCTCCCTCTGTGGTGCCTGCAGTGCCCGGCTGTCTTGGGAACCAGCTGGAAGCGAAGCTGGACAAGCCAGATGTGGTGAACTGGATGTGCTACCGCAAAACAGAGGATTATTTCACCATCTGGCTCAACCTCAACACCTTCCTGCCAGTGGGAGTTGACTGCTGGATCGATAACACCAGGTACCATCCAAGCCTACCATGGCAGCTCCCTGGGGAAGTGACCTACCAAGGATCTCCCTCCCCTCTCCTCCCCCTGGCCATGATCTAGCACACATGGAAAAAAATGGGAGGACCATAGGATTGTTTGGGAATACAAGTGACTGGCTACTGCTCTGAGTGTCTGTCCCTTTCCCAAGTCACTGCCATGTGCTCAAGCCCAGCCAGACCACCCTGAGCACCCACCGGAGATGCTGCCATCCTGCCCAGGGCTGCAGGGTCAGGGGGCTGTGGCAGCTGGTTCCACCAGAGCCTCCTGTCCCAGGATGCCAGGAGAGCAGAATGGACTCTGGCTGGGCTCCAGTGCACCTCACATCCACACAAGGCTTGGAAACAGCCAGGTCCAAGCCACTACCCAGTGATCTCCACCCCAGCCCTGTGTTCTCCATGGGGACATGGCTCTTCTGCCACCTCCTGTCCTGTCCCCACAGGGTGGTGTACAACCGAACCTCTCGGAAAATGTCCAATGCCCCAGGGGTGCACATCCGTGTTCCTGGCTTTGGCAAGACCTATTCTGTGGAATACCTGGATCAGAGCAAGCTGGCAGGTGAGAGGGGGAGAGGCCAGGGTGTCTGGGGATCCCACGTGCTCCCTGCAAATGGGGAGGTGTCCCTGTGTCTCCAGCAGGGACCGGTTCTGCAGAGAGCCCAGGGCAGGGGGACTGAGGGACATTAGCCTGGGGGACACACTCCAGTTGGGTGCTGGCAGGGAGCCCCCCATCCTTGACCCCAGGACTCAATGGGATGCACGGAGTCACTACCCTTGGCTGGAGCCACTGAGTTGCAGGGCTTACCAGGGAACATTTCGACCATGACCAGGACCAGAATGGAAAAATCCAGACAAGAGAAGAGCACAGACTAATTCCCGCTTGTTCCCTCTGCCCACAGGCTACCTGCACACCATGGTGCAGAACCTGGTGAACAACGGCTACGTGAGGGACCAGACGGTTCGGGCGGCCCCCTACGACTGGAGGGTTGGACCCCGTAAGTCTGGGGGTTGTGGCCAGGCCCCCCACGCACAGAGGGAAGCAGGATGACCCTCATTCCATCATGCTCCCCTCTTGTCCGCAGAGGAGCAGCCCGAGTACTTCCAGAACCTGAAGGCGCTGATCGAGGAGATGCACGACGAGTACCAGAGACCCGTGTTCCTCATCGCCCACAGCATGGGCAACCTGCACGTCCTCTACTTCCTGCTGCAGCAGACCCAAGCCTGGAAAGATCAGTACATTGGGGGGTTCATTTCCCTGGGAGCCCCCTGGGGAGGCTCCGTCAAGCCCCTGCGTATCCTGGCATCCGGTGGGTGACTCCTCGTGCGCAGCCACCTCTTTGTTTTCCTTCCCTCCTGCAGGAATGCAAGGGTGGTGGTGGGCAGGGAAAGGGCACAGTGGTGAAAGAGGTGGGGGACCCAGTTTCCTGTTTAGCCTCTTTGCAGCCCAGAAAGCCACAGTCACTTGCCTAATGCTGACTGCCCAGAATATCTACAAGTCACAAGTCCAAAAATGCATGAGATTAAAAATCATGTGCTTGAAGGTTTTAACATCTGGCCCCTTGCATCACCCTTAAGTCACCTGCTAATATTTTTCTCTGTTGCCACAAGAGCCAGAGATATTTTTAAGGTCATCTGCAGTCATTCCATGGTCTTAGGACTCCAGACATGCCAAAAAATATAAAGGCTTGAAGGAAACGTGCAAGTTGGCCACTTATTACTGCTTGCTCCTGTCCCTGCAGGCAGGTGTGGCAGTGCCAGTGTTGCAGGGAATGTTCAGGGCTGGGTTGGTCTGTGCCATCACACGTCCAGGTTTGTCTCCTTTGAGCAGCTAGAGATGTGGAGAGAAGAGTTTGGAAGGCTGTTCTTGATATCTGCAGGCAGGGGGGAAAGGAGAGGACGAAAGGTTATGGGCAGGGCAAGAGCTGGGCTGGAGAAGGCCAGGGGACAGTGGTGTGTCACTGTGGGGAGCGCTGATCCCGCCCAGCTGCCCAAAGGCTCTCTGTGTGGGGACATTGTGGTGCCATTTGTGATGAGCCCTCGCGTGTCCCGCAGGTGACGAGCAGGGCATCCCACTCATGTCCAACATCAAGCTCCGGGAAGAGCAGCGCATGACCACCACCAGCCCCTGGATGTTCCCCACCACCCTGGCCTGGCCCGAGAGCCACGTTTTCATCTCCACTCCCTCCTACAACTACACCTACCGCGACTACCAGCGCTTCTTCACCGACGTCAACCTGGAGGACGGCTGGTACATGTGGGAGGACATGAAGGACTTGCTGAAGGATTTGCCCCCTCCCGGGGTGGACACGTACTGCCTCTACGGCACAGGCTATCCCACCGCAGAGACTTACATTTACGATGAGCGTTTCCCTTACGAGGACCCCGTGGACATAATTTATGGCGACGGGGACGACAGCGTCAACACCCGCAGCTTGGAGCTGTGCAAGCGATGGCGGGACCAGCAAAAGCAGAAGGTGTACGTCCAGGAGCTGCGAGGCGCCCACCACTTCAACATGGTCTTCAGCAACCTGACCCTCAGTTACATCAATGAAATCCTGCTGGGGAGCAAAGAGGAGCAGGGGGAGCCGGGGCAGGCGAGATCCAGCCCAGAGGCTGGGAAGTTGGGGAAGATCCTACGTGAGCACAAGGTGCGTAAGGAGCCCAAAAAGAACTGAAAGGAGGGAGGGCCAGCTTCCCTCCATGATGGCAGGCACCACAAACTGCCGTGCAGGGGAGCAATGGACTTGGAGATGAGTTTGGAAGGAAGGCGAGCAAGACCAACAGCTCGGGTGGATGGGCTGGCACCCACTTCCACACTGATTGGTTCTTCTTTTGGGAACGGTGATTAATTTTACTTCAGAGGCTTGTCACTTCCCACCAGCGGGTGGATAATTAACCATGCTGCCAGCTCATTAACATCACACTTGTGAATTCCAGTGTACACACAAGCCCTTGTCGCTAGCAAGCCATTTTTAGGCACTTTAGAGGCTGTGGACCTGTGGTGCTGTAGCTTCTGCTCACTTGGGACAGAGCAACTCACTTAAGAAGAGCAGGTTCTGACTTACCAGGTGGTCACAGAGGTAGCAGGGGGGTAGCACAGTAGGTGTGGCTTACAGAGCAGTGAGCTAGGCTCCTTGGGCAAGACCAACTCGAAATCAGCAGATTTACAAAATAATAAACACACTTTGCTTCTATGTGCTGAGCCTGCCTTGTCCTTCAGAGCGGGATGGTGAATCCAGCCATAACCAGAAAGTGAGGTGCTTGCTGCCTGCAGGCACTCCAGGAGACAGGATTTCGGGGAAAAACACAAGTCTAGTGATGCACCTGGGGTTGGTGATGCGACCAGGGCTGGCAACGTGATGTGGGTGACAATGTGGTTGGGGTTGGTGACATAACCGGGGTTGGTGGTGCTACTGGAGCACGATGCAACTGGTGCTGGCAGAGCAACTGGGATGGAAATAGAACCAGCAATGGAAATGCAGCTGGGATGGAAATAGAACCACCAAGGGAAATGCAGCTGGGATGGAAATAGAGCCGGCCTTGGCAATGCAGCTGTGACTGGCGATGCAGCTGGGGCTGGTGACACAGCTTGGGGTGGCGATGCAGCCCAGGCAGGAGATGCAAACAGGGTGGGGATGCAGCTCGAGGCTGGCGATGCGGCCGGGCTGGCAGAACACATGCGGTGACACAGCGGGGGTTGGCCACGCAACCGAGGCAGCAATGCAGCCGGGACAAGCAGTGCAGGCGGGACCGGCTGTGCCTCCGGGCCTGGCGATACCGCCGGGGCCGGGGCCGGGGCCGGGGCTGTGGCCGTGGCCGCTCCCGGTCCGGCGGTGCCGCCGTGCCCGTGTCTCTCCCGCGTCGCGGAGCGCAGCGCTCGGGGCCGGGCGCGGCTCCGCCGCCGCGGGGCGGGGCGGGGCAAGGCGGAGAGGGGCGGGGGGCTCCCCCCGCGCTCCCCCCCCCCTCGCTNCAGAGGGCCGCCGCCTCGCTGCCGCACATCGCGCGGGGCCGCGGCGAGGAGGGCGGCGGGCGGCGCAGCCCCTGCCTGCTCGTGGCGCTGCGGCCGCGGAACGTGGAGGCCGAGCGGGAGCGGTTCTTCCGCGCCAGCTTCGCCTACGACCCGCAGTTCGAGTACGCCGAGCCCGTGCCCGCCGCCGTGCTGGACAAGTACGGGGCCGCCTCCGACCGCTTCGTGGCTCAGGTGAGGCGGGGCCGGGAGGGATGCTCGGCCTGGGAGGAGGAGGAGGAGGAGGAGGAGGAAGGAGGGAGGGTGTGGGAGGGATCCTGGTGGGGCTGGCCTGTAGATGGTCCATGGTCCGTAGAATTCTGGAATGGTTTGGGTTAGAAGGGGTTCGAAAGACCCTTTCTGCATTTTAGAATGACCCCACACACCCTGCCGTGGACAGTGACATCTTCCACCAGATCGGTTGCTCCAGGTCCAATCCAACATGGCCTTGAACGTTTCCAGGGATGGAGCAGCCACGGCTTCTCTGGGCAGCCTGTGCCAGTGCCTCGTCACCTTCACAGGGAAGGATTTATTCCTAATGTCCAGCTTAGAACCAACCTCAGTCAACACCATTCCCCCTGGACCGTGTGAAACCTTGCCTTCTTTCCTTCCCAGCTGGTGCCTCATCTCTCTCCCCTTAGCACCTTTTGTGTCCTGCCTTCATTACACTCACCCTGTGATTTCTTAAACCTCAGCTTTTAGTAACCTCACCTGCCTGCAGGAATGGTACATGCTCTGTGGTGACATGGGTCATGCTGTGCTGGCTGTTGGATGGGGCTTTGAGCAGCCTGGTCTGGTGGAAGGTGCCCCAGCCCATGGAGGAGGACTGGAACTAAATGATCTCACATGTCCCTTTCCACCCAATCCAGTCTGTGTTTCTGTGATCAGAGTGGCTCCTGCTTGTGCTGGGAGCTGTGCTCCATCAGGGACACCTTGCTGGTATGCTTTTGCACTTGTTGCTGTAGAACTGACAGCAGAGGAGCTGGAGCACATGGGTGACAGCATGGGAAGTGCTCCTTAGCCTGAATTACCTGGTGGTTAAGTCTGGCTTGTTTTAGGGAAGGCCTAAAGGTTGCCCAGTGCAGCAGCATCCTTAAGGCAGAAGCAAACATGGTCAGTAATGACATTAATTGGTGAAGACACCACTTAAGGAGTCTGTATTGTTTTGCTTAACTGTTTCCTTGGCTTATACTCTACTAAAACATTTCTGAGTTGCTCTCTGCCATGGGGATGGCACTGAGGAAACAGCTCCTGGTCATTCAACAGGTCAGAAGAGTCAGGAGTTTGCTTCCAGGGTGCTGTGCCCACAAACAAGCCTTTTGTGGCTGCAGGAGTAGAGCTGCTCTGTCCCTTCACCCTGTGCTTGGAGCTGAGAGCCTGGCTGTGTCCCAAAACCAGTTTGCAGCTGGGATGAGCATCCTGCCTCTAGGAAGAGCATCCTTCCTGCCACGTGAACCAGTGAGCAGATAAAAACCCCCTCTTATCCCACATTCACACACCAGAGGTGTTTCTTTGCACCTCTCAGTCGGGAGTTACTTGTTCAAGTAACAGCTTCCTCCCTGATTTATTTATTGTTTTTTGAATGTTTACTTTTCCCCGCATCACTGCCCCTGTCTCTGCCTGGATTATTACCCAGATGATTCAGGCCCTTTCTGTGAGCAGTTTGTCATTCCCAGTGTGTGCCATACCTCTGCCCCAGATGAACTGGTGCCAGCAAGGCTCTTGCAGGGGAGACACTCTGACGCCTGCAAAGGCCTCTCAGCTTTTGGCATTTCCCTCCTGTATTTTGTTCCCTGAGTCGTGCAGTAGAATGAGTTGCTCAGAGCTCTTTCACCCTGTGCTTTTTCCTTCGGTGCAGTTGGCTTGCAGCAGAGTAAAAGATGAATAATTGAGGTTATTTTTCTCTGGGCAGTGCTTTGAATGAATGGAATGAAGGTTTGTGACCACTGTGGATCCTGGAAGCTTTTGCATGAGATACTAAGTGTTGAGTGTTTGTGCCAATGTTTCTCCAGGTTTTCTGGTGAGGCTGGGGTGGGACAGCATTCCTGGCACTGTTCCTCTGCTCTTACCCTGCAGTAACCTCCTTCCAGCCTCTTTTATTTTGGGAAGCATTTTTCATTGGCAGCTAACTCTTAGCTATAAACTGCTTTTATTTCAAAGACCTTCGTTAATAATGGAGATTAAATAAATAAGACATTTTGCTAAGTCAGCATCCTTGGACAGGAGCAGACAAATCAAAACCACCTCCCTGCTTCCAGCTGCTCTGCTTGTGCTGTTATTTTATTTTCTTAATAGAAAACTTAAATGAGCCAGGAGGATTCCTCCAGCCCTGTGGAGGCTCATCACCCTGGAGATCACATCCCTGGTTTGCCACGTGGATTTGAGTGGCACCTGCACAGAGCTGGAGGATTTGTTATCCCACTGCAGATGTTGGGTGCATGATCTGGGGATGCTCAGAACATTAAACTTGGAATCTCAGGAATTTTGCTCACCAGGATGTGCTCTGAAGGTCGGGAAGGAGCTCTCTGGTTGTCTGACTTCTGGGCACCAGCTGTGCTGGGTTTCTCTTGGCTCAGTGATTTGGGTCCCCTGGGAGGAGAGAGAGCAAGTGGCTGACAGAGGTGGGAGGATGAAAGGTTGTTTTTCTGCAGTGGTCAGCTGAAGGTACCTTGCAGTGCTGTAAAAATGAGTCTGATTGTTCAGCAAACAAAGCAAAAAAAATCCCAAAAACCCCCACCCCAGAAAACAAAACTGAACAGAAAAACTGTGCACAGCTTCTCCTGGAAAGACTCAGTAAATGACTTGAGAATAAAAACCAGCTGTGAAAACTGCCCAGGGAAGGAAAATCAGGACCTTGTGCAGGGATAGAGGAGGTTACTCACCAGATGCAGACCCAAAGCCCCTCTTAGGATCACAGAATTGTTTAGATAGGATAAGACCCTTAAGATCAAGTCCAGCTGTTCCTTAAGCACTGCCAATCCCACCACTAAACCATGTCCCCAAATGCCACATCTACATCTTTTAAATATCTCCAGGGATGGTGACTCCACTGCTGCCCTGGACAGCCTGTTTCAATGCTTGACAACCCTTTCCATAAAGAATTTTTTTCTGATATCTGATCTAAACCTCCCCTGGCACAACTTGAGCCATTTCCTCTTCTCTTATGGGGTGTTGGATGATTTGAGCACCACTACTGGTGGTGAGCACCCATCTCCTGATCCTGGGTAACCTTAGGGACTAGGGAGGGACAACAAGTGGTCCAGGGCTGGGAAGCTTGGCAGCAGCCCAGCCAGGCTTGCAGATGCAATAAAACTGCTGGAAAAACTCCAGAACTGCTTGAAAGTCATCTGCTTTGGAATATGTACTAATATAATATGAATATAATGTCTAATATTAATATATTGATATATATTCAAATGGCTGGAGAAAGTAATTGCTGGAAAATGTCTGCAATGGAAGCACACTGTTTGGAGAGGAAGTGTACTAATAAATGTTCATATTTTATAGATGCTCCATAAATGTTAATGAGAATAATGGAGCACGTGATGCTTTTATTAGAAGGCTGCTGGGTGTAGAGCAGGCTGGTGGTGCTGAGATGCTGTTTGAAGCAGCATCACTGCAGAGGGTGATGCACAGCCTCACTGCTGAGCTTGGAATTCAGCCCTGGAGTAAGAAACTCTGGGAGTAAAAAGCGAGCTCAGAAGCTGGAGATCTTTGTGCAAGCACTGGAGTTTGCAAGGAGAACTGAAAGCAGAAAAGACTGAGAATAATCATGGATTTAACCACACTGCGACGATGCAGTTTCACTTCTGCTTTGCTCCATTTCTGCAAGAGATGCCTGCAGGGGTGACAAAGGGCAGAAAGAATATGCTGTGGGTCGTGCTGATTGTGTGAAGTGTCCGTCTGTCCTGGTGGCCACCTCCAGCCAGCTCAGTCTCCTTGGTTTTTTAGGCCGTGCGAAACCACGTGGTGTTTTACTGGCGTTACTCAGGGGCTGCCTTCACTGGCTGTGCTGCACGTGGGATTTTAGGCTGTGTTTGTAAGCGAGGAGGTGTTTGTGCTTATGTTGGTGCTCTCTGTGTGCCACAGGCCATCAGGATCATTCGTACTGTGCTGGAGAAGTACGGCACCTACGAGAGCTTCGAGGTGGCCACGGGCGGGCGGCTGCTGAGCAAGTGCCAGATCTGGTCCGTGATCCGAAAGTACATGCAGAAGGAGGGCTGTGTGGGAGAGGTAACCCGTGTCCCTGCTTTATCACTTGTAAAACAGCAATATTTATTTTCTGATAAAAAAGGACTCTGATTAAGAAATGTTTTGGTCACAAAGAGGAAGCTTTTCTGCGCTGAGCAGTGGTGTCCTTTCACCCCCAGCTTCACATACCCCAGCTTTAAGACGTGGGTGCTGGTTCCCCACAAACTTCCTGTGATGTTTTCCACGTGTATCTCCCTTCTGTGCTTGAGAGAGAGGGAGCAGCTGCTGCTTGTCTGCATGGCCAGGAGCCTTTTGCTACGTGCATGAGGCACCAATTACTGTTGGGAAGCATCTCTTGCTGTTGGCAGTGGGAGGGCAGACTTCTCCAGCAGCTGCCTTAACCCACATGTCCAAAAGCAAAGCCAGGGGAAGAGATTTCCTGCTGTCCTGCAGCACATACAGGTTATGGTGCTTTGAAACCCCAGGCTTGGGTTTTAAGGCTGGGAAATACGTGGTTAAGATACAGCAGTAGCCACGTGGGTTGGAGCCAGGGGAGAAGTTCGACATCTCCTAACCTGGTTTCTCTGCACTCCCTGCAGCATCCAGCATGGAGCATGCCACAGCTGCCATTCAGGAGCTTTTTCTATCCCTTCTGCCAGCAAGGTGTGGGCACAACACTGCCACCATCCTGAGTTCAAAGTCTGAGAAGGATTTCTGGACCTGGCTTTGTTGGGTTGGCTTGCAGGGCTCCCTGGGGCTGCTGGCTGCAGGGCAGGGACTGTGCAGTGCTGGCTGGTGTGGGGGCTTCCTCACCACTGCTTCTTGGCCAGACTCTATTTCTTGCCTCTGATTTTTCACCTCTGTCTCCAAAGAGGGTTATTGGTGAGTAGTTCCCCAAGGTATCACCTCGCCCAGTGGTACCCAGTGCATTCCATGCAGGCAAAGCAGGAATGAGTGCTCCCCTGAGGTTCCTCCTCCCCAAGGAATTTAATTTCCTCCTCAAACACCCTTGGTTTGCTGTGATGCGTCCTGAGGGTGTTCCTGGGATGTGGATTTGGCACCTTGGTCCTCCTAAGCCTTTGCCTGGGACAGAACAGATTTCTGCAGATGTTTCCCTGTAATTCATCTGCCTTTGAGTGCCCAGAACCAGTCCCAATACTCAGCCAAGCAGCTGCCAGTCTTAGAGACCTGCACTTACAACTCCCTAATTGAGCTCTCTCAGGTTTATTAATTGATTAAATTCAGCTACTCTGTTCTCCATTAATTGAGCCCTGGCTGGGCAGAAAGCCATTGATTTCTTACATATTGGTGTACAACTGGCTTCCTTCCAGCCCTGTGTAATTGTCCCTGTGCTCAGGGCTATGGGGTGCTGGACTCAGTGAACCCTGTGGGTCCCTTCCAGCTCAGGACATTCTGTGATTCCAGGCAATGCAGAGTTCAGTCACTGTTTGCACATCAGTGTGGCTGTTTTATCTGGGGCTTTTGATATGTGCTTTGGAAACAATGAAAGCATTGGTTTGTTCCTTTCTGTCCAGTGGAAATTTTGCTGGATGTGTCTGGGGTAGGGAAGAGAGAAGGGTTTCACCTGCTCTCCATACAGCCATGTTGGCAGAACTCGCTCCCTGTACAGCACCAAAACTTGTTGAAACTTCTGCATCACTGATAATCTCACACCTGTGGGGGAACTGGGTGGTTTCAGGCGTGTCTCCCTCCCTGCACCTGTACCTCTGATTCCTGACTTTCACCACCTGTGCCCTGTCTGTTCTGCTGTGCCCTGACACCTACTAACGGTGATGGCTTGCTTAAAAGAGAAGAAGCTCCTCTGGGGGTAGAGTTAGCCCAGAGCACGAGCAGCTGGTGTGTCCCTGCCCTCGGGCAGTCCTGGTGGCAGCCTCTGCAGCTGCCCTTTGTCCCCAGCACCGATTGGCAAAGGCAGGATCTGCTTCCCAGCACCGCAGGCAGCGCGCTCCTGGGTAAGTGCTCATGCTGGAATTAAATTTGTGCCCTCAAAAGCTGCTTCATTGGGGTCCAAGCTGCAGATCCTGAAGCTCCTCTGCTTTTCTTCTGACAGACATGATGCTGCCAGAGGTTTCCCTGTGGATTTCAGTGGGCTCACAGCTTGCAGCAGAGATGCCCCACTGGTAAGTGCTGCATGGCAATCCTTGGGGTTGTGGAGTACTGTCAGCCTAAACAGTGCTAGCTGGTGTCTCTTGGGATCCCACCAATGGCCTCCCTCCACCTCTGAGCTGCTTGCTCAGTGTCAGAGGTCCTGAGCAGTGCCAGGAGAGACAGAACATACCCCAGTGCCTTGGGGACCACCAGAAGCCTTCCCTTGGTTCCTGGGGATCAGCTCTTTCTCCATCAGTGCATTCACCAAAGCTGAGCAAAACCATGGAGCACAAGGATGCACTGGGGATGCTGCCCAGAATGAGAGAGGTCACAGGCCTGGGGAGCTGGTCCTGCTGCTCTTTGGCTGGAGCTGCAGCCCTGGTTGTGTCTGCAAAGATGGAGGCAAAACAAGGCAAGTGGTGCTGCTCAGCAGGATGAGTTTTTGTAGCAGAAGAGCTGCAGTGGGCAGCATAAGAAGCTGTGGTTTCTGGCACTGCCCAGAGTCCCTTTCCATTGCTCCTGGATGGCTGGTGCTGCACAAGGAGTCAGAGGTGAACTGACAAGGCTCAGCATTGGAGGGATTCATTTTCACACTGGGATATTTTGACCCAGGTAAGCAGTTGCCCTGTAAGTATTTTATGCTGTTTGTTTGCCCAGTGGTGGACTCTGTTAGGCTGAACTTTTGGCTTTCATAATTATAATAAATCTGACTTAAAGCAAATCAATTCGGTCTCCTCTCTTTTTTAACAAGAATTGTCATGTAGTAACACAGGCACTTTTTCATCCTGAAAAGTGTCAGTTATGAAATAACTGGTGGTTTGTAGAGTTAATAGGTATGTAGGGGATTTTGATTGCTATCCTGAGGTTTGCCACTGTCAAACCTTGGATGCAAGAGCTCCAGGGACCATCCTCTGGTGATGCTGCAGCTTTGACTTGCTGCAGGTCTGAAGTCAGGTGGTCAGAAAGTGCTGCTGGCTGGCAAGTTAACTTCTGGTGAGCATCTCTCTTGGCTCCAGCACCTGTGATAGCCAGGTTTCTCAAAATACCACTTTTCTTCATAAAGATACTGAATAGTCTTACACATCCAATGTCCATCCCTGCTGGGAGTTGTGGCCAGCACACACAGTTCCTCCTGTGAGGGTGGACTGGCATGGAGCCATCCTCACTGCTCATGTCTTGAAGCCTCAAATGAGAGAATCTGTGGAGAAGTCCACGAAAATGGAACCAGAGCCTTGGATCCCTCAGGAGATGTTTCTTGGGGAGTGCAGAGCCTTTACAAAGCTGGTGCTGCTGGGTGTTCAGAGTGGGGCTGTTCTGATGGCCAAAATTCCTGCCCGTGGGGATGCAGAAGGGGGACCAGGCAGGTCTCCAGAGGATGTCTATCCCACAAAAGTGTGGGGAGCCCGTGGGAACAAGCCTGGGGCCAGAGGGGTGCTGCAGGAGGCTGCCCAGGAGCTGCCTGCTCCCCCCACAGTGCCTGCTCAGCTCTGTTGGCTGTAAAGAGATTAAAGGAGCTACTTCATCCCTGCATGAGATCATCCCTCTCCTCTCATTATGCCCCCACCCCAGTGGCTCTTGCTGTCTGCCATTCCCCTGGGGGGCTGCAGCACAACCCAGCGATGGTGCAGCAGTGCCATCCGTGGTGTCACTGGGTTTTTCTGACCATCTGCCACCACCTCAGCCTCTGCTGAGAGCCAAGCCCCGGCTCACGGCCCCTGCCTCCTGCTCCTCCTGCAGGTGGTGGTGCAGCTCACCGACGACCTCCTGTCCCAGGCAGTGATGATGGTGGAGGACAGCCGGCCCACGCTGGCCATCAACCTGGCAGGAGCCCGGCAGCACTGGCTGGAGGGGATGCTGCGCCACGAGATAGGTCAGCGGGGCTGGCTGAGGGTGTGGGCACGGCTGGGGGGGCTCCGGGCATCCATTCACTCCTGTCCCCTCTCCCCAGGCACCCACTACATCCGCGGGGTCAACAACACCCGGCAGCCCTGGCACAGCTCCGAGGGCCGCAAGCAGTACAGCCTGAAGCCCGCCAACCCCACGGAGGAGGGCTTGGCCAGCCTGCACAGCGTCCTGTTCCGCAAGCAGCCCTTCCTGTGGCGGGCAGCCCTGCTCTACTACACCATCGAGCGCGCCAGCCGCCTCTCCTTCTCTGCCCTCTTCCAGGACCTGGAGCAGTACGTGCAGGACGCTGGTGTCCGGTGGGAGTACTGTGTGCGGGCCAAGCGGGGCCAGACGGACACCTCACAGCCAGGTACACCTGGGGGGCGGCCATGGAGGTTTTGGGAGAATTCTGTTTACGTATTTTATATATTTCTTTTTTGTTTTTCTAAGAAAAAGAGTGTGGTATGTTCTGCAGTTGTGTAGGTTGAGCATCACCGGTCCTGTAGAGTGTGAGTTGGCACAGGCAGCCAGAACAGGCACCAACTCGTGGCTAGAACACAAAAAGTAAATTTATTTGCGTTGCCTCGCTAACTGGGGGATCCCCAGAGCAACGCCCAACACCTGGGCAGAGGAACACAAGATCAGAGGGTCACCAGCCTGCTGTTCACAAGCTTATCAAGAGTTACACCCAGGTGCAAGGTCACTTGAGCAATTTACAATCCTCCAGATCAGTGTTTTGCTTTTAACCCTTTCCTCCCAACACAGCCACAGCACCCAGTCCCCATATCCCTCCCTATCCCAAGCACCACTCTCCCTGTCCCATGGGAGTGACTTGCACAAGCTCTTGGAGAAGCAGCAGGCAAAGGACAGGAAACATTTGGATAGATTTGGATGCTTGCAGTGGTTTACCCTTTAAAAAATTACTTGGGAATTACTTGGGAAGTATCCCGGTGGGGTTTGTGGCTTTGGCTGCACCCGGCTGCCTCCCAGTGCTCACCCCTTGGGACACAGCAGACCTGAGCCCTGGCACACTCGTGGGCAGTGCCCTCACTCTGGTTCTTGTGGTCAGCAAACGTTCAGGCAAGTGGAGGGTGGTGGAAGGCAGGAGCCCTCTCCCAGGCCTCTTCTGCTGTTCCAGGCTGTTTCAGTAAGGACCAGGTGTACCTGGACGGGATTCTCCGCATCCTGCGCCACCGGCAGACCATCGACTTCCCACTGCTGGCTGCACTTGGAAAGGTAGGAGCCAGGGGGAGGGTGGGGCAGGGAGGGGCTGATCCCACAATCCCATCCCACCCCAAAGCTCACACAGGCTCCCTCAGTCTCATGGCTTCCCAAAAACCAGCCCTTGCCTGGCAGCCCTTCAGCTTTGTCTTTCCCTGAGCTCATGGATCTCTGTGTACCAGGGAAAGGCTGTGCTGGGTATGATGCAAGGAAGGACAGGACAATCCATAATCCTCTGCGGGAGACCTTTGGGAAGAGGCTTAACCCAGCAGGTTAAGCCTTTCTGGCTCTTGGCCACAGCAGTCCTGCTGTCACCTGTCCTTGCAGTGACCGAAAATTACCAAACCACAAATCCTTGCAAATCCCACACCCCCAGCCGCTCTCCTACTGCCTCCCCATGAGCAGCAGGGATGTTTTGACTGACCCAGGGGGGCTGCAAGGGCACCAGATGCCCCCATGGCACCTGCCAGGGTTTGGGATGGAGGGGACTGACCCACATGTCCTGCCAGGTGTCCTATGAAGATGTGAATCGGCTGAAGAAGTTTGGGGTGCTGGAGAAGGCTCGCATCCCACACTTCATGCAGGATCTGGAGCGCTACATGAAGCAGCTGGATCACATTGTCACCACCAACGGCCTGGATGAGGAAGAGCTGGAGCAGCTGCTGCCTGACTGAGGGGCACCCCCGAAGCAGCACCCCGAGGGTGTCATGGTGCTGTTTGTTGGGTATTTCTTGGGGCTGCAGCAGAGGGCAGAGCCCGAGGCGGGCGCTGTGCATGTAGCGCTGTGTAGGGTAGCGCGGCCAAGGGCCCGTGTGGTTGTGTTGATGTGTCCCCTGCATCGTCCCTGTGTGTTTTGGGGATGCCTGTGCTGCTCCACGTGGCTCTGGGGAGCCAGAGAAGAGGGTTCAGGGAGAGCGAGGGCAGAGTTGGGGCGATGTGCTGCTCCCCGAGTGCAGAAGGCTGTGCTGGGGGGGTTGCAGTGGGGGGATTGCTGTAGGGTACCAGGAGTGCTCCCAGCACTGTGGGGGCACCTGCTTGGGGCCAGAGACAGGGCTGGGGGCTCTGGGCTGTGCCTGGCAGGGAATAAGGGCTGGACTGCACCCAGATTGCCCCATGGATGCCTTTTCCACTCCCTACCCCTTCCCTCATGTCCTCCCCCAGCAGCAGGAAGGACTTTCATCCCCCATTACCAATCTCTGCCCAGCTCTGCACCCCAACTACAGCCACCCTGCCTGGCTTTGAGGACTCAGGGTGGGGACTGGGCTTGATGTTAGGAAAAAAGCGTGTAATAAAGGTGATGTAATGGAAAATACGTGTGGGCAAAAGGTTGTGGATAGCATCAAAACCCAGGCTGGCACCACTGTGAACACCCACCGTGCCTCTTGCTGGCACAGGCAAAGCTGCATGGTCTGAGCTGCTGTGTCAGGGGCTGGTCATGGACTGTGACAAACAACACACTGGACAGGAACATCAGTACATCAAAGCAGGCAAAAGTAAAAACTGCCCTGAGCTGCTCCTGGTCTCTAACACATGAGCTCTGCAGCAGTCATGGCACCCCTGGGAGTACCCTCTTAAGAGAAAACAAAACAAAACCCAAACCAAATAAACCCCACAGCCTTCTTACACCCACTGAGCTCTGGGAAAGGTAGCGCAGGCCAATCTGTGGCTCCAGAGAGCTCCCAAAAGCTCCAAGTTTGGCTGCAAGCCCTGTTCACAGCATCCCCAGCTGCCCCTCACTCCCGATCCTGCGAGGCAGCTGCAGATTCTTCACAGGGTGCAGAGGCTGTACCAGGCAGGGCAGCACAAACCAAGCTAGGGGAAGGAGAGCACTTATCTCTGGGGATTCTGCTCCCCTCCAGTCCAGCTCCCCAAGAACACGCTGGCACTTTTCACAGCTCCCCTGCACAGACCCACTGCCAGCACGGTCAATTAAGACTCTGCTCTTTAATGTACTATTTCCTCCAACATTGCACTCCCCAACGCTGAACGCGATACAGCGCTGCTTTAAAAAGATATTTACACACATGCCAGCATCACCCCCTTGCCAGCCCAAGGAGCAAGGCCTCAGCCCGTGCTAAGACCCAGCCAGGGGAAGTCTCTTGCGGCCTTTCTGTCGGAATGGCAGCAGTGACAAAGGGCAACAGAGCTACTGCGGTGGTTCTGGATTGGTTTTGGTTGCATCCCTGATGAAACAACAGCATGGAGATGGGCGAGGGCGTTGATCTGTGCCCGGGCAGGGCTAGAAGCGCTTCATCTGTCGGCGCTCCTGCCGCCGCTGCTTCTTCTCGTTGGGCTCCTGAGCGGCGGGCGAGGACTCGGCTGTGAACCAGGGCCCCAGGATGTTCACCCACAGCAGGTAGAGAGCGCGCCCCGGCGCCTGCAAAACACACGTGGCACAAGCTCAGGCACCCTGGGACAGCAGGGCTGGTCCTTCTGAGGGAGGCAAAGCAGCTGGGTGACAGGCAGCTCGGGATGCACGGAAATCAAAGGCAGGGGCAGGCGCCCAAAATAAACGGCCTGGTTTCATTCCAGGGTTGAGGAACAGAGCTCGGGCTTCATGCACGGAAATCCCAGCATCAGGTCTGAATTACCCACAGGGATCCAACTGTCCAGACATTCCACCTCTTTTCCTTTGGAAAACACATCCACATTTCTTTGAATTTGTGAAAAAAGCAATCCAGATGGTCTCCAGGGGACAGCTGAGTCTCGGCTGCCCTCTGCCAGGCCAGCTAGAGAGGAATTTGTGGGTGAGGACTGAAATGAGATCAAGGACTGAACTGGGGTAACTTTCCATGCTCCCACAATTGCCTTCTGTACCTTTGTGGGATATCCTCAAAGCAAATGTGGGATTTTTTAACTAAATGGAGATTTTTTTTTCTCCTTCTGCACAAGCAGTTTTAGCTGGAGACACATGACATACGTTTTAGGAGCAGAAAGAGTTTGGTGTGTTAAGGGGAATGAAAGCCTGTAGCATTTTATCTACCCAAAGGCACAGTGTCCAGCAGATCCCAGCCTTGGTGCATGCTGAATGGCTCAAACAGCCAAACATGATGAAACACTGTTTGTTACAGACACAGAAAGACTCTGTGCACCAAGACAGCCTCATGTTGCTTGTTGCCCTTTCATGAGACCAGAGGGAAAGACAAAGGCCAGCCTAGTTTTTGCGTAGTTGACCCAGAGGGATCAGGACTTCTTTGCCTTGTTCAGCCTAAATTTTAAACAAGATGTGACAAGGAGATGAAAAAAATTATCAGAAAATAGTTCAGGCCTGAAACATGACACTGAAATGAAATGAATAAATAATGTCCTCCATCCTGAAGACAGGGAAAGGAAGCAACAATGCAGAGTAAGATGGAAAACAGCAGGGGCTGGGGCTTACCAAGAGCCAGAAGTACCAGACGTAGAGCGAGAAGCAGCTCAGCACTTGGACTATAGCTGTCAGCAGGATCACATCCTTGAGGTGCCTGAGGGAACAAAGCAAAGCATTAATCTTTCATTCCAACCCCTGCCAAACAGGCAGCTCCTCTGCCAGCACCGTCTGCTCTGCCTCAGGGGAGCGACCCTGCCCAGCCCAGGGACTGTCCCTGCAGCCCTGCTTTGCCACACACAGTTATCCAGAAGGATCAAAGCAACAAACAAACAACAACAGCAAAATACTCTGATGAATTCAAGAGATGATCTCCCTCTGAAAAAACAACATTGAGAAAGCTGAGGAATTGCTGGGGGTTGGAAATCAGCAACAAAACCACCCCCCGCCCCCACAGCTGAAAGAGCAGCCAGCACTGCTGATCTGACACCTAAAATGACATAAAGTGTAACTCCTCACGACTGGCTGTGCTGAAGGGAGCCATGAATCTTCCCCTTGCCATTTCACAGGCTGACAGACACTTGGGGTCACTAAAGGACAAGCACAGGACAAGCTGAGCTACAGCAACAGCAGGCTCCTCCTCCTCTCCTGTATCTGACTCCAGCTCTTCCATGCCAGCCTGAGGCAGAGCTGAGAGCAGCCAAGGAGAGGAATAAGCTGCCCACACCTCAACCACCACCCTCGGGGGATCTGACGCCCAGGAGAGGGAAACAGGTTTTAGTTTTTCAACACAAGCCTCGGGGAGTGCCATGAAGGTTTAGAAAAGAGGCCAACTCTCTGGTTAAATCATCATCTGCTGGAGTAAAAAACCCTTGAGTCACATCCAAGAATGGAGACAGGAAAACAAAGGCTATGGCATAAACATTGACTCAAGACACTGCAGAATCCACCACCAACAGCTCTAGCACAAGACACTGAGGGTTCAGTGACCTCTGGCATTACCAGAGGGCACAGAGGGGTGAAGGCAGAGCTCCCACCAAACCCAGCTCTCCCAGAGACCATGAAGCTGGCCTTCCCCAGCCCCAGAGCAACACAAAGCATCCATTTCAGCCACAGACAGCACGAGAGAAATGCCATGAAATCCACAGTGTTCCAGAAGCAGCTCCAAAGGAGCAACATTGATCAGTTGCAGCACACTTAGCTAAGAGGCTGGAAATATCCACTGCTTTCTGAAATACCTGCTAGCCTAGGGGGTTCCCTGATCCCCAGAGAGGTAATTTAGAGGTACAGGGTGGGGATGGGAACTTCAGCTCTGAAGGTTTTGTTTTTAGAGCTCTGCCTCCCCTGTGTTTTGCATAGCCCATGACTCAGATATGCATTAATTCATTTTAATGTGTGATAAACCCCACCCCAAATGCTCAGGCAGAAAAACCTCTGTGCCTCAGTAGCAAGGGAAGTACATCTGCACCCAGGACTGCAGCAGTGCTATGGCTGTGCCTGTCACCTTTTCACAGCTGCTGCTGGGATCCCTCAGCTACCTCCTGTCAGTGATTTCCCCTGACAGCACCATCAAAGTTTTGTATTTTCCCTCTTTGACTATCTCACATTGTTTCACTAAAAAGGTACTAAAAATCTTTTGCAATTCCACTCTAGAGAGGCAAACCAGTGTAAAATGGGAGCAAAACACTTGGCTGACCAGCAAGTGACCAGCTCATAGGTCACAGCCCCTCTCCTCCTGGCCACCTTGTCACTCTGAGTCTCTTAAACCAGACATCTGAGTCACCCCTGCTGCAGGCAGAAAAGGTACAATTCCAGCAACCCAGACACAAGATGAGAGCTCATCCTGTGCAGAGACAGCAGGTTCTCTTCCCCACTGCCTGCTGATAACATCCCCAGGCAAAAATCAAAACTTAGGTTAATAAAACTATACACATCCATATATGACCCCGACAGCCTGAGAACACCTGATGCAACACAGAGGGCACAGCTGGAAACAAGACCCCACTGTGCTTCTTCAAAAGCCTGGCAGCAAGGGAAGGACAGAGGTAAACCTGGAACTGCAGCCCAAAGACATGGCAGGAAGGAGCCAAGGAGCATCTCACTGAGCACATGCTGAAGATCCCCAGCAGAGGCTGGACTGAGGGCAGGGAAGACAAAGATGTGTCCACAACTACCTGGCAGTTTTCTGAAACTAGTTTGGGGCTCACTGTTGGATGTAAATCTAGAAGGTATTTCTGCTGTACCAGCACTGCTGTCAATTTATTTTATTTAGCAGCTTTGCAGGAATTACTGCTGTGTTTCCTGTAATACTCTGGCATTCCTTCAACAAGGAAAAGACAGTTACAGTGGCACCAAGAACATTGGACAGGCAGACACTCAGTGCTGTCTGCAGAGGGACATGAAGAATGCACAAGCATGGGGGACAGAAATGGCTGCAGAGGTGACAGGAACTGGCTGAGGCAGAGGCAGGAATTTTTAGTGTGTGAAGCATTTCAAGACATGGCCAGTTTGCAGCCAGGATGGTGTAACTGGCAGCAAAACCCTTCTGCTCTGTCAAGCATTACCTGCTGTGCTGGTTTAAAAAGAAAATACCTATCACTGTGTGCTGCAGCAGTGTTTGTTAACTGAAAGATGATTGTAAGCTACTCCTGCTGAACTCTTTGTGATCTCTTACCTCTACAGCTCAGCCCTACGGACAGTAACCGTGCCAGGCTGACACACCCATGTCGAGGCTCACCAAGCCAAGTGTTCAGGTAATAAGGACAGATAAGGTACACTCTGAGAAAAAATGGCTCCAAACGTCCAGCTCCCCTCATGCCCATGCCAGTGGGCAAGCTGAGGAGGGAGCTGAGGCCCAGCCTTCTCCTCGGGAGCCTCTCCTGGCTCTGTGTGCACGCTCAGGCAGCAGCTCCTGCTCACCTGGACTCGTGCGGGTGTGGACACTCACTCTGCCATCCCCTGCTCCATATTCAGGTCAATTCCCCCGTCGGCAAGGCTGCCATC